GTAGAAGTTTTTTTTAAATACATTTCCCATTAATAGCGGCCATACTATTATCGCAGGCGAACAATCCGATATCGCTGTACGTCCGGTCAGTGATTCAACGTCATATTGGAAAGTGTGTAGATCTTTAATATTTCGACTAATATTCCAGTTGTAGTCTCGAAAGTATATACTTGAGCGAACTTCGAAAATGTACGAATATTCGAATAACGATGTACTACATTTCGTTTCCGTGATTCTATGTTTATGTACGTGTATATATACATATATATATATATATATATGATATATATATATATATATATATATATATGTATATATACACGTACATAAACATGTGATTCTATGTTTATGTACGTGTATATATACATATATATATATATATATATATATATATATATATATATATATATATATATATATATATATATATATATATATATATATATATATGATATATATATATATATACATATATGGACATGCTATGCTGTGTTATCGAAAAACTGTAATTTGAAAAGAATATATACATCGAACGGTTCTAATTCTATTATACAGGGTGTCCGCAAAGTTGGGGTTATCCTTTACACGACGTGTAGATCTTGAAAACATAAGCAATTTTTCTTAGTGCCATATACACCAATATCTTAAGGGAACCGAGATAAAGGGCTCTGCAACATCAAAAATATCTGAATACCGTCCTGTAGCCGCCACCCGCCGCGATGCCCCAGACAGGTACCGGCTACTAGCTGAACCCGACGACAGAACTGGGTCGGGGGTGGGGGTCCGAGTGTCAGGTCAGTATGCAACCTTCAACCGACGGTAAAGGGTCACGCGTATAGAGGTATAATAAATATAATAATAATGGCACACTCATATACCAATAATGAACTCGTTGATATGTTGTTAATTTATTAATGAACGTCTTCAAAATGATACAGAATCGTCGCGAGTGTATGCAGATCTTTTCCCTAGACGACATCATCCAAGGCCCCGCAGATTTGTGTACCCGGTCCAGAGAGTCAGGGATACGGGCCATTTGGAGGAATATCGAGGTGGGCACAGTGGGAGGTCTAGACAACCACGAATGGTGCTAGTTGAGGAAGAACTACTGAATCGCGTAGACGAGAATCCCTCAACAAGCACTAGAGACGTGGCTAGAGAAGTGCGAGTATCACAAACTAGAGTGTGGCAAACGTCCAACCTGACGATTTTCCAGCAAGAGTGCGGTTTTGTGAGTGGTTGTTGCATCAACATGACAATAATCCGGACTTTTTGAAGTGCATATTGGTGACAGACGAATCTACGTTCACACGTAATGGGGTCAACTGGAGAGTGAGTACTTTTTCCTTTATATATTTTTTTTACATGGTCGGCCCTCGTTTCACTACGCATTACCTTTGTTATTTCAAGGGTAGTTGTTTCTGAAAAGGAAAAGCCCAACTTTGCGGACACCCTGTATTAACCTTCGGAAATCGTGGATACCCTTATGTTGACTGATTTCGCTGTTGAACAATAAAAACAATGACACTCCGTTAATACTATTAACTGTTAGAACAAGTTACCATACACCGATCCGCGGGGAAAGGAATAAACGATAAGTAATCAATTTTGGGCAGTTAACATCAATTAAACTCAGAATACCAAAATAAAAAGGATTTTCCGTTGGCAATATATTCGGTCTGCTGTTACTTATGGGCTATAAATGTATAAAAAAAATTGTGTTACTTAATTTTGTTATTTTACAAAACGGTCTTCGTCTTCTTCTTCTTCTTCTGCTACGGTCTTCACACACACACACACACACCCTCCTACCCTGTGCGGTCCCTCCACCACCCCTGTTCCAGGCAACCTCAAACCCTTGAGGAGTGGGGGGAAGAGCAATCAGCTCCTCCCCCCACTCCCGCCCAAAGGCCTGGAGTGGCGCTGCGTGGTTCAGGCCGCTTGCGCATTCCCCGAGTGTGTGCTGCCGAACGAGCTATCCCCCCTTCCCCAATTTTGCCCCTTTTTCCCGAAATTTGACTCGATCGCGCACGCGTCGCGGAAGCGCGTGGTGGACGTTTCTTCCAACTGTCGGTTCTCGACTTTATGGCCGGCCTCTTTTCTTGGGGGTCCTGCGCTGGGGGCTTTCGACCTAAGCCCCTCCTAAAGGTTGGTGAGCCTTCGCTCTTTCCTCGTCGACTGGAGTCAGTCAGTCGTCGTCAGTCAGTCATATTTGTAAGTCATTCGTCTCCTGAGGTTAGCCCCGAGTCCGTGCTTGACTCTGGCCACCTCAATCGACAGGCTTCTTTTTGTCCACCCGTTGTACACGGGCTGTTCTTTCCCCTCTTGGGTGTACAACTATTGTCGGTCTTCTCCCCTTTTCTTTGGCCTGATCAGCTGCTAGGGCCAAATATCTTCTTGTTGCAGCTGGCTTTTCGGTCTTTTATGACGCCTTATTGTTCTTGGGTCGTAATCCAAGGCGGCTTCAATCAGCACATTTCTTTTCAAAGAACTTTCTGGCCCTCTCTCTCATCTGGATTACGACCGGTACCTGTCGTAGTTCGTCATATAGCACTCTGTTAGGTACATACCACGGTGCGTCCACCGCTTCACGGAGTGCCATGTTTTGTTGAGCTTGGAGCCTCTTCTTCATCGTTTTGGAAACGTAGCCCCAAGCTACTGCTGCGTAAGTCATGATTTGTAGCAGCACCATCTGAATCATGATGGTCTTATTCTTTAGTGACACTTTGCTTCTTCTGCCCGTTAAGGGTCTTAGTTTGGAGCGTGCCATCTTCACTTTCTGCACCCGGTCTTCGACATGGTTCTTCCAAGTGAGTTTCTGGTCCATCTTGACTCCAAGGTATGTGCTGGAGTCTTTCCAGTCGACCTCAACCTCTTCATCTCTTCTCCAGCCTCTCTCCATTCTGGTGGTCGTCATCTTTATTTTGGTCTGAGGTAATCTTCGATTTCTTCGGAACAGTACCGCTTCGGTCTTCTCGGGGTTGAGGCGGATCTTCCACTTGATGCACCATTCCTCTAGGTTGGTGGTCGCTCGTTGCAGATATTCCGTAACCATGCGGGGTCTCGTACTTTCTGCCGCATATGCTGTATCGTCCGCATACACATACAGTTGCGTTTGAGGAGTCTTCGGGATGTCTGAGCTGTAGATTGGATACAGCAGGGGTGGTAGAACCGCTCCCTGCGGTACTCCTGCCTCCACAGTCCTCGTCGTCGAGGTTGTTTTACCGATCCTAATTCGGAAATTTCGGTGCTTCAAGTAGGACTTCACCAGTTGGATCATCCCCTTTGAGTATCCGTGGTCTACCATCTTGTAGATCAGTCCGTCATGCCAAACAGTGTCGAACGCCTTTGCGGCATCCATGAACACAGCTCCCACGGCCCGCCGAGTCTGGAACGATTTCGTTGCCATCTCGACCAGCCTTAGGACCTGGTGCTCTGCTGAATGCCCGCATCGGAATCCGAACTGTTCGTCTGGAACTACTCGGAGTTCTTCGGTTTCGTTCTTCAGTCTTCGTTCGATTACCCTTTCCGCAATCTTGCTCAGTGCCGTCAACAGGCTTATGGGTCTGTAGTTTTGGGGGAACCTTGGGTCTTTCCCAGGTTTAGGAATGTTGATCACCTCGGCTACTTTCCAGTGATCTGGAAAGTACCGGTGTCTCAGTATGGCGTTGACGATGTTGGTAATTGCCATTATCGCTTTCCTCGGGAGTCTCTTCAGGACTCTGTTCCCAATATCGTCTACACCCGGTGCCTTCTTCACCTTGAGTCTTTCGATGATTTCCCTTACCTCGCCTGGAGAGGGCATGTCTTCGATGGCTCTTCCTCCTCTGACAGCTCTCCTCGATCTTCTCATCACCTCGTCGATGAAGTCTTCGTCTTCATCGGGGTGAGTATTGAGAGTACACTGTCTCTGAAGGTTGTCAGCAAAAGCTTCCGCCTTCTCTTCGGTTGTGTACACCATCCCCTGTTCGCTGTGTATTGGGGGGATGGGCTGTCTTCTATTTCTGAGGATTTTAGCCAAGTTCCACATTCCTGGGTCAGCTGGAGATAGTTCGTCGAGTTTCTTATCCCAGGTGCTCTGATGGTGCTGCTTCAAGGCGTCTCGTGCCTGTCTCATAAGTCTGTTTGCCACCATGATGTCAGTGGGGCTTCTGGTCTCCTGGGCTACTCTTCGGGCTCTGTTTCTTTCGGTGATCTTGCGATTTACCTCGTCAGGTAGGTCCCTGAACCTGTTTGGTTGCGTTATGTCTTCCACGGTGGTTGCGGCTTCTAACGCAGCCTTAATCTTCCTTTCTAGGTCCGTGACCGCTTCTTCTATGCTTTCGGGGCTTTCGATCTGTAGTAGTGGTCCTTGTGAATAGTGCAGTCTGGTTCTAAACCGCTGCCAATTCACTCTCTTCACTGTTCTTTGTTCCACAGGTGTTATCCCATCTCCCGTACAGAGAAAGATGGGGTTGTGGTCTGAGCTTCCCTCTTGCATGGCGCCGATGGTGGTGCGCATGTCGATTTCCTTCAGAATCGCCATATCTATGACGTCTGGTCTACCTCCGTTGCTGGGGTATATTGTAGGTTCGTCCGGACCTATCATGGTATATCCAGGTTCATCCATTAGTCTTTCCAGAACAGCGCCGTGACTGTTTCTGTTTCTTGAGCCCCAAATGGTGGACTTCGCGTTTAGATCACCTACGATCACGGTACTGTTTCCCAGTGCAGTGATACAGGTGACATCTTCCAGATATTACGGACTTCTTCTATACATATATATATATATATATATATATATATATATATATATATATATATATATATATAGAGAGAGAGAGAGAGAGAGAGAGAGAGAGAGAGAGAGAGAGAGAGATAGATGAAAAGATTAAAATAACGACCACAGCTAATTATCATTTTGCATTTTATCATAACATAGTGGTTCTGAAAAGAACCGTTTTTTTTTTTGTTCTTATTTTTCGAACCGTATAACCGTCGAAGCGAATACAACGTCTATATTATTTTGAACTGGTGTACTTGGTGACGGCTTTGGTACCTTCGCTGACTGCGTGCTTGGCCAATTCTCCCGGTAGCAATAGTCGTACGGCTGTCTGAATTTCTCTGCTAGTTATCGTGGCACGTTTGTTGTAATGTGCCAATCTGGAAGCTTCCGCAGCGATACGTTCGAAAATATCGTTGACGAAGCTGTTCATGATGCTCATCGCTTTGCTGGATATACCCGTATCGGGATGTACCTGCTTCAGTACTTTGTAGATGTAAATTGCGTAACTTTCCTTCCTCCTGCGCTTCTTTTTCTTGTCAGATTTTGAGATATTCTTCTGCGCCTTGCCCGCTTTTTTGGCAGCCTTACCGCTAGTTTTGGGTGGCATTTTATTGTGAGATGATGCTGAGTATAATCGACACCAACGCTCGACTAACGGAACGACTGCAATTCTCTGGCCGTATTTAAGACAGGTGACGTTTACGACCGTAGACTCCGCCCCCAGGCGTTTGCCGGCAAACGTTCGCGTCGATTGGTCGGTTAGGTTCATATAAATACAACGTTCGCGGAGATCATGTTGTGCATTTGCAAGTTCATAGTCGACGTCGTTCGTTAGCAGATTAACAAAATTGAATATGTCAGGACGCGGAAAAGGCGGTAAAGTTAAGGGAAAGGCAAAGTCCCGATCCAGCAGGGCCGGCCTACAATTTCCCGTCGGTCGTATCCACAGGTTATTGCGAAAAGGGAATTATGCTGAACGCGTCGGTGCCGGAGCTCCCGTATATCTAGCGGCCGTTATGGAATACTTGGCCGCTGAAGTTTTGGAATTGGCAGGCAACGCTGCTCGCGACAATAAAAAGACCCGTATTATTCCACGTCATCTGCAATTGGCCATCAGAAACGACGAAGAATTGAACAAATTGCTTTCAGGCGTCACAATTGCCCAAGGAGGAGTTCTCCCTAATATCCAAGCTGTTCTTTTGCCGAAAAAGACGGAGAAGAAAGCCTAAAAAAAAAATCTTCTGAACATACAATCGGCCCTTCTCAGGGCCAACAAGTAATTTAATAAGAAAATGAAGGGATTATCATTTGTATATGGAAAAATTTTCTCAGGGTGATATCGGATCGGTTGTGGCGCGAGAAGTTGGCAATAACTAAATTATTTAATCGAGGCATCTCATCGTCGCATTCACGTCTAATATTCGCCGGTATCTCGATAATGGGACATATCGGGACCGAAATCGTCGATTATTGTAATTCAAAGAGCCAAAACGTATAAGTCGATCAATTTCTCATATTCCGATAAACTCATTTATGTGAGTGTTTCTTTTTATTTTGTATAAAAAAAAATAGAAAATTAATGTGGCGGTTCAATCGGCAGATCCATTCTTTCTCACGAGAGTATATGGTGGTTCTGAAAAGAACCGTTTTTTTTTTCTTTGTATTGTATTTTCGTTCAACCTGTACCGTGGTAATTGCTGCGGAGTGTTTAAACCACCGAATCCGTACAAAGTGCGTCCTTGTCTCTTTAATGCATATACGACGTCCATTGCAGTGACTGTCTTCCTTTTAGCGTGCTCGGTGTAAGTGACTGCATCCCTGATTACGTTCTCTAAAAAGACTTTGAGCACTCCTCGAGTTTCTTCGTAAATCAATCCGGATATACGTTTTACTCCTCCACGTCGCGCCAATCTTCTTATGGCCGGTTTCGTATTCCCTGGATGTTATCCCTCAAACTTTACGATGCCTTTTCGCTCCTCCTTTTCCCAATCCTTTACCACCTTTACCGCGTCCAGTCATTTTCAAGATTCTCTCGCACGTCGAACTGTTAAAGCGAACGGGCTGTTGCCAACTGACGGTACGTCTCTCGTGACGCCCGGTTTTGTTTAGCGTTGTCGTCCCTCCTATTGGTCTATCAATTGGCCAATCAGACTGTTTCTATTTCGAGCCCATATAAATATAACTGTTCGCGGTGTTTACCTCCGCTCACTATAATATTGTCCGTTGCAATATTCACGTCGCTGCTATATAGATAATTTATATTCAGTTATCTGAAATTTAACGTAATGGCGCGTACCAAGCAGACGGCTCGTAAATCCACCGGAGGTAAAGCTCCCAGGAAGCAATTAGCCACGAAGGCTGCCCGTAAAAGTGCTCCTGCTACTGGCGGAGTTAAGAAACCTCACCGTTATCGTCCGGGAACTGTGGCTCTCAGAGAAATTCGTCGTTATCAGAAAAGTACCGAATTGTTGATCAGAAAATTGCCTTTCCAACGGCTGGTCCGTGAAATAGCGCAAGATTTCAAGACCGATTTGCGATTCCAAGTTCTGCTGTAATGGCACTCCAAGAAGCTAGCGAAGCGTACCTGGTCGGACTATTCGAGGATACGAACTTGTGCGCGATCCACGCTAAGCGAGTAACGATCATGCCGAAAGATATACAGCTGGCAAGACGTATTAGGGGCGAACGTGCCTAATGGAATTGACGGATTTACTATTTGCCGGAAAGAGAGAGAGAGAGAGAGAGAGAGAGTACGGCGTGCGATAATAGGTTATAAAAAAAAAACGGTTCTTTTCAGAACCATCATATAGTATGTTCAGAAAAAGGGGATCGTGTATTATGTTAAGTATATCAGATTGTTGTTTGTACGCGTGCAATTTCGACACTATTATCGTGTATGCAAAATAGCGCTAAATGGTTATACGATAGTCGCTAGTTATTACCCGTTATCCTATATCGAAGGATTGTGGTGCTTTGTAGTAAACCGTTACATTGATATTATTCTAATAACGTACGAATTGTATGTATGTGTATGGAAGTAAAATAACTTATAAGTAGCATGTGATTATAATGTAGATAATTCGACATAATATAGATATTTTGCCGTATATATTGCTTAGGCGTTTAGGCAGGCTGTTAGCGTGTAATACGTAACATTAGGTACTTTCACGTAGATCAAAAGTCAGTAATGCGTACGTCTAATAATTAATATGTAGTAAGAGATGAATTTATAACTCGATCGCTCGTATATTATATATAATATTTTTCTACTCTGGCTTATTTATTACGAATAATAGATTGATGTCTCATATTATTATCTATTTTGTCATATTACAGGAGTAATGTTAAAATTATCGCGATATATTTCGCGACTGTGCACGTTCGGATGTACGCCAGACATACCTCCGTATAATTGCGATTATCTAAAATACCTTATCCATTAGCCGTATACCGACAGTATAATTGTATTACGAATAGTCGTAGATTGTTAATTTCATGAAATATCTAATTATATAACGTATTCGTATAATATAAATTAGATCAAAAGCCGGACGATAGGTCCAAAGCGGATACCTTGCACGTTTCACCTTATAATTTTATCGTGTACGTAGCGTACGTGATCAAGTCGCGAAGTTAAATGTGTATTTCAAATTATGCAGATTTCATATTCGTTCAGGTTTTAGCTGTTGCTCGTATGCAATTATATCAGCGACTCAAAAAACCAACAGATACGACCGCAGGCTTGGCAGAATTGAAGCCGTCGAAATCGGTTTCGCTGCAAAGTCGGAGCGTTCAATGTTCGGTCCGACCGAAATGACTTGGGTCACGACGCTGAATTTACCTCTCACATTCATTCGACATTCGTTCTCTTAGCGAGATCGTCGATCAGTGATTGCAAAAGATCGCGCGTATACAATAATCTGTCTCCTCTTCACGACTCGTAAACATGGCAGATACGGAAAACCAGAATTACGCCGCGTCGGCTACGGCTACCGCGAATTCTGCGTCGCCGACGTCGCAGTCGTCTGCGAAAAGGAGAAAAAACCGAAGAATCCGAGGGCGAAGCCGTCTCATCCTCCTACTAGCGAAATGGTCATCAACGCAATTAAAGGATTAAAAGAGCGTGGCGGGTCGTCTCTGCAAGCTATCAAGAAATACATAGCCGCTAATTACAAAGTAGACGCTGAGAAAGTTGCGCCTTTCATCAAGAGGTACTTAAAATCGTCCGTCGCGTCTGGAGCTTTAGTACAGACGAAAGGCAAAGGAGCTTCCGGATCGTTCAAGCTAGCTTCGTCATCGGCTGGCGGAGCGTCGAAAACTTCATCATCGTCAGCCGCAAAGGTTGGCGAAAAGAAGAAGAAATCCGCGACCGGCTCAAAGAAGAGCGGAACCGTAGCTAAGAGAGCTAGCGGTGCGAAATCTGCGAAGAAGGCATCTCCGAAGGCTAAGAAACCGGCGGTGGCCGGTGGTGCGGCCGAGAAGAAAGCTTCTCCAGCTAAGACAAAGAAAAGTGGGAAATCGGCGACGTCGGCTAAAGCTTCTTCTGCTGCACCTTCTGCAGCGGCTGCAAAAAAATCTCCTTCGAAGGCGAAGAAATCCAGCAAGGGAGCTCCGACCAAGAAGCCAAAAGCACCAAAACCGAAAACGGCGAAGGCTGCAACATCGCCAAAAAGGAAGGCCGCTTCACCCAAAAAGAAGAAATAAAAAAAAAAATTTAGACGTGTTGCAACGTCGTAGATTACGGCTACGTCGGTTCGAGACGTTATATTTATGCGAGAGGATGCTATACGTCCCCGCGGATTGAAAATGGCCCTTTTCAGGGCCACCACTATTACTATAAAAAGGATACAGAATATTTACGAATTAGCAATTTTGTATCGAAATATACATGTACAACTGCGGCTCGTACGTGCGTTGATGTTTTTTTTTTTTTTTTTTTTTATTAAATTCGAGTATTATTCGTTTACGATTAGGTATTTATAAGCAAGTGGTAATGTTTAGGCGTCGTCACCATCGATATTTGCTTTTAAGGGTATAAATAAGTATGTATTGTGTTTAATTAAACGAATGAACGTTAAACAGTCGATTGCGTCGTAAGGATATCCCCTTTTTTTACGCTTTCGTTTACCATTAAATAATCCGGTCGGGTCTATATCAGACGTTATTGCTTTAGTGGTGTATGTATATCACGAATAATCATCTGGTATTCAAGTACCAATAATATATATGTTGCGCGTACGGTGATATCATTATCTTTACTTGATAACTTTAGTGGTTCTGAAAAGAACCGTTTTTATGTTGTAAGTTGTTGTTGATGTTGTTGTTGTCGTCGTAGTTACATATTACTTCGAACTGGTGTACTTGGTTACGGCTTTGGTACCTTCGCTGACGGCGTGCTTGGCCAATTCTCCTGGTAGCAATAGTCGAACGGCTGTTTGAATTTCTCTGCTAGTTATCGTGGCACGTTTGTTGTAATGTGCCAATCGGGATGCTTCCGCTGCGATACGTTCGAAAATATCGTTGACGAAGCTGTTCATGATGCTCATCGCTTTGCTGGAAATACCGGTATCTGGATGTACCTGCTTCAGCACTTTGTAGATGTAAATTGCGTAGCTTTCCTTCCTCCTGCGTTTCTTTTTCTTATCAGACTTGGAAATATTTTTTTGAGCCTTACCGGCCTTTTTAGCTGCTTTACCGCTAGTTTTGGGTGGCATCGCGTTTCGATTTACACAAAAAGTACGATCTTTACTGACACAATATCGTGATCTATAATGGAAAGGGTGCACACACACACACCCTCCTACCCTGTGCGGTCCCTCCACCACCCCTGTTCCAGGCAACCTCAAACCCTTGAGGAGTGGGGGGAAGAGCAATCTGCTCCTCCCCCCACTCCCGCCCAAAGGCCTGGAGTGGCGCTGCGTGGTTCAGGCCGCTTGCGCATTCCCCGAGTGTGTGCTGCCGAACGAGCTATCCCCCCTTCCCAATTTTGCCCCTTTTTCCCGAAATTTGACTCGATCGCGCACGCGTCGCGGAAGCGCGTGGTGGACGTTTCTTCCAACTGTCGGTTCTCGACTTATGGACGGCCTCTTTTCTTGGGGGTCCTGCGCTGGGGGCTTTTGACCTAAGCCCCTCCTAAAGGTTGGTGAGCCTTCGCTCTTTCCTCGTCGACTGGAGTCAGTCAGTCGTCGTCAGTCAGTCATTTTTGTAAGTCATTCGTCTCCTGAGGTTAGCCCCGAGTCCGTGCTTGACTCTGGCCACCTCAATCGACAGGCTTCTTTTTGTCCACCCGTTGTACACGGGCTGTTCTTTCCCCTCTTGGGTGTACAACTATTGTCGGTCTTCTCCCCTTTTCTTTGGCCTCATCAGCTGCTAGGGCCAAATATCTTCTTGTTGCAGCTGGCTTTTCGGTCTTTTGTGACGCCTTATTGTTCTTGGGTCGTAATCCAAGGCGTCTCTAATCAGCACGTTTCGATGTCTTTCGTTCTTTTCAAAGAACTTTCGGGCCCTCTCTTTCATCTGGATTACGACCGGTACCTGTCGTAGTTCGTCATATAGCACTCTGTTAGGTACATACCACGGTGCGTCCACCGCTTCACGGAGTGCCATGTTTTGTTGAGCTTGGAGCCTCTTCTTCATCGTTTTGGAAACGTAGCCCCAAGCTACTGCTGCGTAAGTCATGATTTGTAGCAGCACCATCTGAATCATGATGGTCTTATTCTTTAGTGACACTTTGCTTCTTCTGCCCGTTAAGGGTCTTAGTTTGGAGCGTGCCATCTTCACTTTCTGCACCCGGTCTTCGACATGGTTCTTCCAAGTGAGTTTCTGGTCCATCTTGACTCCAAGGTATGTGCTGGAGTCTTTCCAGTCGACCTCAACCTCTTCATCTCTTCTCCAGCCTCTCTCCATTCTGGTGGTCGTCATCTTTATTTTGGTCTGAGGTAATCTTCGATTTCTTCGGAACAGTACCGCTTCGGTCTTCTCGGGGTTGAGGCGGATCTTCCACTTGATGCACCATTCCTCTAGGTTGGTGGTCGCTCGTTGCAGATATTCCGTAACCATGCGGGGTCTCGTACTTTCTGCCGCATATGCTGTATCGTCCGCATACACATACAGTTGCGTTTGAGGAGTCTTCGGGATGTCCGAGCTGTAGATTGCATACAGCAGGGGTGATAGAACCGCTCCCTGCGGTACTCCTGCCTCCACAGTCCTCGTCGTCGAAGTTGTTTTACCGATCCTAATTCGGAATTTTCGGTGCTTCAAGTAGGACTTCACACAAGTTGGATCAT